CTCAATTTGCTCAGCATCCAAATTATGAACAGTAGCTCTAGTATAGTCCAGTGAATGGCAATTTTCTGAAAGAATCCTGCCAACTGTACAGTCCTCGTAAGAGCAGATTTTCAAGTTTAGAATAAGAAGTTAAACTACCAAGTAAAGATATTAATATAATGAATGAACAGTTGACCCTATTTATGTTAAAGACAAGCATTGGTTGGTCTTGTGAAATATTGAATTAGGTGAGAAAATTGATGAAAGGAGTGAATAAATGCATTCATAGATAAATTGTATGCAAACGTGTCAAAGACAACTGTTGTTATTTCAATAGAAGGAAGTTTTAGTAAATGTTGTATCCTGATTCATTCATTAGCTCACTTCAGGAAGTGTTATTACAAGCTCCATTCAATGGATTATACAAACATTCAACAACTTTAACAAAGGAATTACTCATTACATTATTTCATGATTACATAGTTGAATACTGACAATGCAATAATTTTGTGAACAGAGATTAGCCTTTTTCCCATAAGGTTGATATCAGAGAGCAATTAACACTATTAGAACCGACTTTAGAATTGCACCAATCTTCTGTAACTCCTGTATATAATATTCAGTTTTATTATAGAATTAACCTCAATATAGTTTTAAGCACTCTGAAATTGAACAGCAATTATCAATATATCATGTGAAATAGAATTTAGGCTAGTTGCTAGTTGTAAAGCTTATAGAATTTTAGGTTGTATTTATAAACATTGATTACAAGTTAAAAGAGGTAATTAGCTCTAAAGAAATTTCTAATTAGGCTTTGGATAGTTTTGGTTTTATTATCTAAAAAAAGAATAATTACTTAATGAAAAAACTCGGAGGAGGGTTCTGAGTATGGAAGAATTATCTTGAAAAAAAAGGGTAAGAGGTGATCTTATTGAATTTCACACGGTTATTCGGGGTATTGGAAGGATAAAAGCCTCTGGCTTTTGTGTGATATATTCTGAAGGCAGTAGGATGAGAGGATACAAGTTGATAAGGTGTGTAAAAGACAGTTTTAATTATGATTAACTTATTAATTGAGCTACTGTTGGCTGTAATGGAGGCTGGCACTTTACAGGAGTTTAAAACAGGAACAATTGTATATTAAAAATCAGCAGATGACATATTCATGTTCCTTTGATGTATAAGCACCGAGTTTCTGTTTTTGTACAACTAGCACAAATAAGACAGATGTATGTACCTGAATGAAGCCAAAAAATATATAAATTGGATGTACATGTGTGTTTGCATAAAGTCCTAAATATATGATTATAACTTGTGTGTTTGATAAGTTCTTTTGTAAAAGTTATACCATGTTGTATATGAAACTGAACCTGAGATAAAATCTGCATGGTTTCTATGAATTCTGATAGAGTAGCTGATGTACAACATTCTTAACAGTATTTTATCATGAAGGAGCTCCTAAAGATTTAAAGTAGGTTAGTTGAAGACTGGTTTTTCACTTTGGGTAATTTGTGCAGTACATGTAAAACAACTACCCTTGATACATCATAAACAAGTTTTACTCTATCTACAGCTACAATCTGCTGACATCATTCACAATCCAAATGTACTGGTTTATTATTTCCATGGAAATATAAAACTTGTAGTGTGATAACTTCTACTGAATGGTTCACATGAATCAAAAGTTTTGTTAGCTTTATTACCGGTAACATTAGATTGAGGTTTTGAATCATAACTCATGATTTTTTATTATTCTCAAATAGCTCATTTATTGCTAGATAGAAAAAGGATTTTCAGTTTTACTTTCTGACCTCAAATGTGGATAATTTGTTAAAATGATTTGTCATTTTTTTTAAGTATACAGGGTGAATATAAAGAAAGACTTATTTATTTAAAATTACTTTCTTAAAAATTACATATATACTAGAGAAAAAAATTTCACCAAAGGCTCATTGTGAGTTGTATAGTTTGGACACTGTATAAGGTGTCTACCTCAGTCACTTTTCTTACAGACAAGTATTGCTTATGTTTCTCTTTCATCTCTCTCTCTCTCTTAATGTTACAAGATAGGCAATTTTAATAAAATGTGTGTTAGATATTTCAGAGATCAGTGAATCCTTCAATGAACAGATGATGCTACAGTAGCTTTACTTAGGAATAGGCTAGCTATACTAAATGATAAAGTATATTAAAGATCTTGCATACAAGTTTTGAAACTCCCACAAATCAATATACTTTCAGTAGTTGTGTAGAACACTCCACTATTGTTATTAATCCTTTAATACTTGCTTGAAACCTTCAGAAAACAATGTTGTTGTGTTAACTAAACTGTTTAATTATTTTAATTGATTAGCCAGCATTTTAATTTAATGAAATGCTAATGTATTTTAATATTTCTTATTTACCCATCTCCCCTGGCTTACAAGTATAGTACATCCACACTTGGAATGTGTTACTAGGTAGAATCAGGTCAGCCAGAATGACCTTGAGTTTACAGTTCTCCACAGAGGTGCCACTGACCTCAGATCAAACAAGTTGTTTCAATTCAAAACCAGTTCTACCTCTGTGGTATCAAAGCTCAGGTATTAACCACTATAAAAAAAATGTTTTTTTATTCTCCATACGTTGCTAAGAATGTTAACTAATGAACACTTACCTTAAGTAAATAGAAAACAAACATTTTAATTAAAAACTATTCCATAAATATATGTATATGCCCATGCATACTGAACATAAAAGAATTTGCATGAAATACACAAAATAACAGACATACAGGATAATTATAAAGAAACCTCCATCTTTAAAAACATTATATCATCAAAAGAGGAACTAAATTTAAACAGCCACATGTTAAGAATCATGGGTTTCTCATGACAGTTCAAACATGGTACAGATGATGGATATGGTATTAGAAGATTAATGACTAATGAACCAAGTTAGGCTTTTACGTAGTCATGCTACTCATGTATTGTAGTATTTAAGGCAACATTTTATAATGTATTCATCTTGATGTAGCCTAAACATTTAAAAATTTGACAATAATTCAGGTTTCCATAAATGTGACAATAGGAAAATGAAGTTTACTATTTTCTAACATTTGTCATTATAAGCAACGTTAGTTGTGATAAACAAAAGCTAATCTCTTGACACTACAGATATTTCTTGAATTTTTTGTAGAAATTTATATGAATTTATGTATAGGATTTACAGGATAACAAAGTTATTTTGCTTTGCTTTAAACTTCAGATGTGAGTGCAAAGACCTTTTCACAACAGGAATAAAATTTTTATGGGATGTTTAATCATTTCAAAAATATTCCAAAATTTCATTGATGAGATATTGGCCAATTGCTATAGAATTTACTAATTATTAAAAAATATAAATAAATGGAGAATCTTATTATTAAAGAGGATTTAGTCCTTGATAAGAATGCCCCCTGTGTTAGGCACTAGCTGCAGCTCCTGACATTTGTGTCATGATTTAATTTATTTTTAGTTCTTGTTTCCTGTATACTATTTTTTGTTTTTGGATTACCCTCTACTATTTATAGTTTGCTGTTACTTCCTTAGGTGTGGGTAAATTTAAACCATAAAACATTTAGAACAAATAGTTAGAACCTTACAGCACTGTTATGTACACATACTTCAGCATATTGTAAAATATTTGATGAACTTAAACTCATGGTGAACCCATTCTTGTAGTAAAAGCATATCTAAAATAACTGTTACCAAGCTGAGGTCAACTGATTTAAAGTAGTCACTATAAATAATATTTTCTGAACTTCTCAATGAAAGATGTGTTGTCATAACTTTATTGATAGCTTTGTGCATTATTTGTGATCTTATATTAGCAAAAAAAAAGTGGAATTTTTTCTTCTATCTATATAATATGATTCTGTGTGTGTATTGTCTCATGATTTCCTCCTAAGTGGTACGAAATGAATTGTCTTGGCCCCAAGGTTTGTAGAAAGGTGAAACTTCTCACCCCACCCATGGGGGAAACAGGATTTCCCCAAAACCCTTTCTCCTAAACTGCTAGGCTCACCAGTTTCTAAATGGTGCCAAACAAATTGTCTTGGCTCCAAGGTTTGCACAGAGGTAAAACTTTTCCTCCAACTTTTTAGGGAAGCTAGATATTTCATTAAAACTTTTACTGGGATTTCCTGAAAGCAGATCCCAAATTTGGCATTGATTTACATTAGAGGATGTAAATTTAGTAGTTCAAGCATTAAATTTGCATTTTAGCAACCCTATAAATATGGGTCATAGGACCATAGATTTGATAAATGGCATCAAAGGAATCGTCTTGGCCCCAGAGTTTGCACTAAGGTAAAACTTTTCATCAGACTTTCTGTGTTTTGGTTCTAATACCAGTAACGGTACATACTTGAGCCTAGTGCAATGTTTAAGCTCTGAAGTTCAATTCTGATAATAAAATCTGAAAAATTGCTCCTTAAGGAACCTGAGTATTTTGTAATAACACTTATATGGTGGCCTGGCATGGCCATGTGGTTAGGGCACTCTGCTTGTAATCTGAGGGTCATGATTTGAATCTCCATCCCATCAAACATGTTCAGCCATGAGAGCATTATAATGTGACAGTCAATCTCACTATTCGTTGGTAAAAGAGTAGGCAATAGGTGGTGATTGCTAGCTGCCTTCCCTCTAGTCTTTCACTGCTAAATTAGGGATGGCTAGCACAGATAGCCCTCGTGTAGCTTTGCACAAAAATAAAACAAAAACAAACTTTTATGGGGATTTCCTGAAAGCAGATCCCAAATTTGGCATTGATTTACATTAGAGCACACAAATAAGTAAGCCTACTAATTACAGTTTGTAACTTAGTTAAAGAAATTGAATTTGCATTATAGTGGCAATGATCATTAAACTGAAAAAGTGCAAAATAGTAGTTCAATCATTAAATTTGCATTGAAGCAGCACTGTAAATTTGAGTCATAGGTACAAAGGTTTGCTAGTATTTCTTATAAACTTTTAAAAAATATTTTTTTTCTTATGTTCTAGGAGTTCGTCTCGAACTGATGTGGCTACTGTTACTCCATTGGATATAGAATCAGAGAAAGATTGTTCCACTAGAGCAGTTGTGTCAGCTATCTCTCGCAGTCCATCACGCTCTTCCACTATAGTTTTAGCTCAGGAAGAAAGTATGTAAATGTTTTATACACAATGATTGATTTAATTGGTAACGTTCATAGAGTATTAAGTTGCTGTGCTAGGCAAGGTATTTCTAAACTTGTGAGAGAGTCTTTTGATACATTCAGGGCCAAATTCAAGTTTTCTTGCATTGGACTCTGACAGGTAATATTGTGAAGCATTTTTTAGTATGTATACTAATTGTTCTCCTGAACAATTCTCAGTTCATTGGTTTATAATGTAGTATCTTAAATAGAAAAAATAGTTGAAAGAGTTAAATTAGCTTATATTTCTGAGTAATATTTAAAGACACTACATTTCTCACTTTTCAGCTTACATCATTAAAAATTGTTTGAGAAGAGACCATTTAACAACCTGAAAATTGGCCTTGACATTGTGATTATAGAAATCTAGTCAAAGACACCCTGGGTGTGAAAAAAAAGGTTCAATTTGGAGCATGATGGAGGGTAAAACAAAATACGTGGCCTAGCTAACTAATGAATGAATATTTGCTGTAAAATTCTTATCAATGCTATAAGTGTAACTACCAGTTTTGATTTCATTCCTTTAAGTTGCATGCTCAATCCTTTTTTTGGCAGCACATTTTTTTCACACCTAAGATGTTTTAGATTAGATATCATGACTTTATATTGCTTGGAGATTGCTGAATGGGTAATGAAGAAAACCTTTAATATACGTTTAACATAACATCAAGTGTATAACATTTCGACAAGGTTTTGTCATCATCAGGTACAAGTAGTTTACATTGACACACATATATATATATACACAGTATGGAACAAAGAGGTCACACGACCAGATACTGTTGCAAGACTTAGAAGAGATATCTTGGCACCCCAGGGT